TATATATATAAGTCGCCAAACGCAGCCCCATAGTCTCGCACGCGACTTATCCCAGTACTATACCTGGTTACTCGAGAACAGCGGAAAGAAATTACTCAAGAGGCGAAACATAGCAACAAGAACGAATGCGCTTACACGTGTGCGAATGTACAACAAAGACATCTTTGGACATATACGAACAAACAGACGCAGGACTATGAGAGGCCCACAGACAGACACGTGCACTCACCCCAGTTTTTGGTAATAGTCTCTTGCTCTCAGATTAGCTGTGAATCGAAGGAGTGAATCCCGCAACGGAAGATAGTGGTGTCAGTAGAGTAGACAAGTCAACAGCCTATCAGACACGCTATGATGAGTGTCTATGATGAGTGTCTATGATGAGTGTCCATGGAGAGTGTCAATGATATGTCTATGATGAGTGTCTATGGAGAGTGTCTATGATGAGTGTCTATAATGAGTGTCTACGATGAGTGTCTATGAAGAGTGTCTATGGAGAGTGTCAATGATATGTCTATGATGAGTGTCTATAGAGAGTTTCTATAATGAGTGTCTACGATGAGTGTCTATGAAGAGTGTCTATGGAGAATGTCTACGATGAGTGTCTATGATGAGTGTCTATGATGAGTATCTATGATGAGTGTCTATGATGAGTGTCTATGATGAGTGTCTATGATAAGTGTCTATGATAAGTGTCAATGATGAGTGTTCATGATGAGTGTCTATGATGTGTGTCTATGATAAGTGTCTATGATGTGTGTCCATGATGAGTGCCTATGATGAGTGTTTATGATGAGTGTCTGTGATGAATGAGACTCATCATAGACACTCATCATACTCCCATTGTAGACACTCATCGTCAGGGCTCACTTGATACAACGCCCCTCAAAGCACACCACGGGACAACCACAGCAAGTGCACGGGTGCCTGGCAGTGTCCATCGCATGACCAGCGTAGGGGTTAGGGCTTAGGTCAGGGCTTAGGGGTTAGTACCCCTAACACAGATCGCACGTGTCTTACCTTTCTGCACCGTCAGCACAACTTGTCGCATGCGCCTGTGTCGTCCTATGTCTTCGAGAGCTTTTAAGAGTGTCTTGCCAAGGCCTTGGCCGCGGAAGTCTTGCGCTACTTGCAGTTCGTAACTGTGCACCACAGAGATTCAAAACAACGAGACGGGGTGAGTGCTTATGACACGGCATGCGACAAGTGTACTGGGTGCAAGGAGCTATCACGCGCCATGGCCACTGCTCTGTTATGCTCGAGGGTCGTCAGTAGTTAATATGTGTAAGGAGGCAGTACTACCAACGAAACGAGGCCTATGGAACAAGGGCCGAGACGTCACATATCAGAACGGAATACACGGGCGCAAAGACAATGACCGGGAAAGCCGGAGAGTAGTCTATGGAGTAGTAGGGGTTAAGAAACCACTGCGAGTGAGCTGTTTTCGACACAATACGCGTATATAAGTTGTCGCTCCCTATTCATGTTTACATAACCGGCACTCATCGACCAACAATGAACGCAAAATTTCAGTTGCGAACTATCACTGTGTTAAACCAAATCGTGCGAATTGAAAGTTCCACGGTCCTCAAATGTTCATACGGCCTCTGTCCACTACACACTACACTCAGCATGAGTGCCATTGCCTCCACACACCAGTAAATGATAATAAATAAATCACAACGGACTACACTCAGTATAAGTGCGCCATTGCATCCACACACCAGTAAATGATAATAAATAAATCACAACGGACTACACTCAGCATAAGTGCCATTGCATCCACACACCAGTAAACGATAATGAATAAACCACAACGGACTACACTCAGCATGAGTGCCATTGCATCCACACATCAATACATGATAATAAATAAACCACAACGGACTACACTCAGCATGAGTGCCATTGCATTCACACACCAGTACATGATCATAAACACACCACAACGTACTACACTCAGCATGAGTGTCATTGCATCCACACACCAGTACATGATCATAAACACACCACAACGTACTACACTCAGTATGAGTGCCATTGCATCCACACACCAGTACATGATCATAAATAATGCACGACGTACTACACTCAGCCAGAGTGCCATTGCACTCACACACCAGTACATGATGGGCAGCACTTCGAAGTCATCCATCTCGAATCTGAAGGAAGTAATTGCTTTGTATGACAGGCTGTCTTCGTCTTCGTTGTTTTCTACCAGCAGATACCTACTTGTTGGACTCCTAAGCTCCTCCATCTTCTCCTCATCGCTCCATTCGGCGTAGCTATGCGTGGCGTGTCCCAATTAAAAGGCAACTCAGCACAGACACACACCCATGCATAGCCACGTATCCATATACTCATGCACATCCCGTGCGTGGCTGCAGGTGAGCATCCTTTAATACACACCATCTAGTCTAGAGTGCAAGTGCTCGAATGGGGTATCCCCCAAAGTCTCACAACAGAACCGCCACCCGGCAACTGGGCTGTTAAGAGTGCTTCTAGACGAGCGCTATGGAATCAGCATAGACAGACGCACAGTGTATGACTATGAAGAAGCGTGTTTGCTCCACATCCCCTCTATACAACGAGAGTCACTACTAACCTACCTCTGCACAAATAATCTAGTGAGCAATAGAGGTGCGCACGCATGCTTTGGCATACACGTGTGTGCCTCGAAGCACCAGCCATTGTAATCGTTGACCTCCATGTATGGACCAGAACAATAACTGAATCTACAAATAGTGATACAGAAATTAATGCACCATTACAATCATTCAATCTACAAAAGAGATACAGTAATGCATGAACCCGTTAGTGCTATTTATAATGTTTTACAACACGCACAGCACAACGCCTTATCACATTGCAACCAAAGGGGTGTGAGGTGTGTTGTGTGACATACTAGTGTGAGACGTTGGCCTTTGTGAGGTTGAAGATGGCTTTGATCTCCCCCTTCGCCAGATCCTGTGACCGGATGAACGCAAACGATCTGTCCTCTCTGCCGTGTGCACGGATCACAACAGCCAGCACGTGTGAGTGTAATGCTACTGAGAGAAAGGATGATTGGTTATGATATCGAGAACAATCCCTAAGGCCATTTGAACGGTACTAGCGCTACAGCGCGAGGGTTGGTAGGTAAAAGAGAGCTGGTGGGTTGATGCAACACCCCGGAGTATGCAGGTAGAGCAGTAGACGTGCACTGGCAGTGTGTGTGGTGATTGAGGAGTGGCGGTGCAATGATCTTGTAATTCAGCATGTGTTGATGGCATATAAGTTGTATTGTATCGTGCGAATGGGCAGAATAACCCCACACTTTCGAGTGCTGCGGTTGATCCGCTCGCTTGTCTTACGCACTTGCGCAGGAGAATTGGGTTAATAACGTGGCACGTAACTCATATTGTGATAGCGCTAGACTAGTGGTTTATCAGAGACGAGAGATCGCTTTAGTTGGGCGCGGGAGTGCCTTGTACAGCTTCACTACAGGACAGCCGCGTCAGTGCGGGCCTAGAGGGATGCAGATGCGCAGTGGAGTGTCGTGCCGAATAGACTTATGCTGTTGCTTTGTAACGAGATATGTGATGAGAATATCCAGATGTGGACAAGTATTCTAGAGTGTATGTTGCTTTACAAAGAGAGGCGTAGTTGTTGTATCGTATGTTCACATGCACCTAATTGTACGACCGCACTGATGACCTACACTAAGTTAGCACATTGAGATGTCACAGATGTAGAAGGGGGATGTGTACATTTTAAATCAACCCTAAGATCTCGCAACATCAATTGCAATGCGGCAAATGGAATACTAGCGAGGTGAGAGTTTAACTACGCATGCTTGCACCTACCATTTGAATCTCGAACTTCATCTGGGCATACTCACTTCACACACAGACTATAACATAGGCTACATCTATACCATCGTATATGTATTCAAAACCACACCACTTCCAATCCGGTCCCCGACTAATCTCGCCGTACCCTTTATTCGAGACAGGCAAAAGCTCGTCTAATGTCACGCACGCATTGGCCGACACGCAGTCTGCGTGCAAAACCGCTTTCTGTTCCCCCATGGTACCAGAAGCAAGGGAGTACCCGTGTATGTGCGTGTGTGTGTGTGTATGTGCGTGTGTGTGTGTGTATGTGCGTGTGTGTGTGTGTGTGCGTGNGTGTGTGTGTGTGTGTGTGTATGTATGTATGTATGTATGTA